AAATAGCAAGATTCTCCCTAACAGAGTAACTGTAAAATACAAACTCTTTCCTCAACTCTGCAAGCACACGCATTCCTGAAATTACAATTTGGGTCACTAGATTTCAAGACCCTCTTGCTGTGCTATTTTAGATGTTTCAGTGTAGAGATGAGACAGCACTCTACACTGCTTTCTTACCTGCACACTATCAAAGATTGCCTCATGCTTGGTATCTAGGTGTCCTGGGTTGCACCGTTACATCTTTCTCCACATTACATAACATGACAAATTTGATCCCAGTGGGAACAAGCTAATAATACTCCAGAGTAAATGGAGAATGCTGAAGTGGGTTTCAAGCAGCTTGTTAACTCCTAAAGCCGTGACTATAACAGCGGTGAGCTGAGAGCATTACTGTCACACTGAACCCCATTAAACTCACAAATGAAATGTTCCCAAACACATTTATTGTTACCAAATCTGATTCAATCACCATTGATGAATTATGCACTACTGATACAACTCTGTACAGTGATTCAATATCAGCACAATATAATGAATTGTTTTCTTACACAGAACCAATGATGATTAGGATGCAGATTTCAAACATTTCCATGATTGTGACAGATTTCTTCTGCTAGAAAAAATGGCTGTAAGTTTGTACATGCAAGATATTCATTCATTCAGTGAAGTTCACACATGAGATTTTCACATATGAGATTTCTTTTTGGTTATTGTTGAGCATTAAATTCCCTGATGTTTGTTATTGGGTCAACTTGCAGTACATGACAGCACCCTTGATATTAAAAAATGCTTCCATGAACATGCACTGGATTGTCGATCAGTTGGCTTTAAAGGAATAGTTAGACATTTTGGGAAATTCACTTATTCACATTCTTGCTGAAATTAGATGAGAAGATACCACCATGTATGAAGCTACAGCCATGAGACGGTTAGCTTAGTTTAGCACAACGACTGGCAACACGGGAAGCTAGTCTTGCTCTGTCCAAAGGTAATGAAATCCACCTACCAGCACCTCTAAAGCTCACTGTAGAACACATATGTTTTTGTTTAATCATTAATTAATAATTAACAATCATTATGAACTTTATATTTGCTGGTTGGTATTTTTTTTAACCTTACTAAGCTAAGCTAATTCTCTCCTGTCTTTAGCTTCATATTGAAGTGGTATCAATCAATCTAACTTTTGGCAAGAGAGCATATTTTCCAAAATGTAGAACTACACCTTTAAGGGGCACTTCATGGTAAACTGCACATGTTTTTGTCATTTACTATCATGTTGATTGAACTATAGGGAAAACCCTTGTAAAGTCACAAAACTCATCTGGAAACAATTTAGAGCAATTGACAGCATGAAAAACATCCTCTTTATTGTGTGTCACTGCTATATCAAAGGCCTGTCAATTTTGACAGAATTACATGAATTACATGAACTGCAACACTTTTATCATGAATGAATATATAGCCTGCCTGCTGCGAAAGGTGCTTCTATCTCATTTATATGTATATTATTATATCGTCAAATTGTACAATACAGAATTCCAAACAATACACAAGACTTATAGCTGACACACTGATGAGATCATTCTATTACAAATACATTATACCCTGAAAAGATAAGCCGGCACAGTATATCGGGGTCTGCTATAATCATAATGCTTTTTATACTAAATCTCTGTGTTTGGCATCCCATTCATTTAGTCTATACTGAGTTAATAAATACACACATGATTCTTTCATTCACAGTTGCTTAGACAAAATAACTAATATTATAAAACACTAAAAATAAAACTTGTACAGAATGAACATTGTCTGACACGATGCACAATGCAAATGACTCACATAATAAATGATAAAGTGCATTTCTCATACTTGAGGCAGATTATTATCACAATAGATTCAAAATAGATGCTGAAAAATAAATATATGTAACACCGCAGAATCAAATCTATGGTAAGAACTGTTCCATTAACTGCAACATTTGTAATCCACATTATTCCAATGAGGTGTAGCAAGATTTCTAAACACACAAATAACACACTTGTAAATTAACAGATGACTAACCGACTAATGATATAAAAAAAACAGCATTAACTGTGTGTTTAGTGTATTTGTCAGTGCAGTTCTGGAAATGCAATAGGTTTGGTTCCTGAAGTTGTTGAAATGCTCATAAAAACCCTCTGAAGTAAAGTGTCAGGAAAGAGGCTTGACAATAGTCGAAGGCAAGACAGAGAGGCCAGAGGACAGGATGTGGTTTGTTATGGCACTATAATGGCCCTTTCCCTCAAGACCCATAGTATGTGGGTTTGGTTCAATCCTGAAAACTGCTTTATTGTGCAATGGAATAATTAGACAAATGTGGATGGAGGTAAAAAATGTTGAATTTGATTTCCGTTTACAATTCTCAATAACAAAGATTGCAATCTGTTTTAAATATCTGGTTCAATATGTTTGAATGAACTATTTTTGTTAAATTCACATGGACTTTACATTTGATTTAACGGAATAATTCGACAGTTGTGGACATAGAGTTGATACCACTCTCATGGATATACGGTAAATTTGAAGCTTGAACCAAGAAACAGTTAGTTTAGCCTAGCATAAGACTGGAAACAGGAGGAAACATCTTCTGGCTCTGTCCAAGGCTCGCACATCTAAAGCTCACTAATTAGTATAGTAGCCAGCATCTCGTTTGTTTGTTGTACAGAAAGCTAAGTGTAAAAAATAAAAACAGGTTGTGCTTTTACATCCAAGAAATACTACACTATATTAACATAATCTCTCGTAAAACCACAACTCATCCAATGCGTTAAAGGAGACCTATTATGCTTTTCCATATTTTATGAATTATCTACAATGTTACACTGTTCCCCCTGTTCTGAATGCTCTGTTTTGAACAGCTATTTCTACCAATGGCTCGGTATGATGTCATTTCCATATATGGTAATTTGCTCCAGGCAGAGAATGCTGGCGACACCCACATGCAGCCCCATCCCTGCGGAACCTGGGGCGAGGTCTTTGCTGACAAAACGTAGCAAAGCGTTTTTTTAACGGTTGGTTCCCTGAACACGCTGTTGTGTACACAAGCACACTGCATTTCCGTGCCTTCTTAACACTGTTGTGTTTACAAATTTGTTGCAGCTGATTGGGTAACACCTGAGACACACCCACCAAACGGGAGGAAACATACCTCGAAGCCCATTGCAGAACGTTGTGCAACGTTGCAATGAAACATGTTGTTCAATCCAAAAATGTTGCAAACCGTTGCAAAACGTTTTGAAATTGAACTCGCCCATGGTAACACATAAGACAATGGCCAATCAGAAGACAGTGGGCTTTGTAGAGGACCTTAAAGAGACAGGAGCATCTACAGCTTGTTTCAGACAGGGCCTGCATGAAGTCCCAGTATAAGAAAGAAAAATGTTTTCTTTGAATCATGCAAAGCTACCATAGAGGAGTCACAGAACTACAATATAGGACTGGAAATGCAGTATAATAGATCTCATTTAAATAATGAGATGCAGAATTTGTTACCTTTGGACATAGCCAGTGTAGTCCCCTTATTTCCAGATTTCATGCTAAGCTAAGCTAACCAGCCAAGGGTTCCAGCTTCATATTTACCATAGAGATGTGGCATCTATCTTTTTGGCAAGAAAGTAAATACGCATATTTCCCAAAATGCCAAACTATTCCATTAAATTCAAACTTACTGGAAAGCAGCCACAAAACATTCGCTTGTTGCTGTTTGAATGTGCTGTTTCAATGCCTCAGGTCTTCTCACCATGTGGGGGGGACTGTTCTCGCTGAAAGAGCAGGGTCACACCCTTCCTGAAGCGGTGGTCCCTGACACTGTAGATAATGACATTACAGCAACTGTTTCCTGTCAGGATCCAGAAGGCAAAAAAGGAAAAGTTACACCAGGTGTATCCCACCACGTTACCGAGCACAAACACTGCGATCGGAGAGAAGGATGCTGTGAAGGCGAATGTTAGTATGCCAATTGTCTTGGCAGCTTTGATGTCTGAAAAGGAGGGCCTGTGAGGGCACCCTCCCCCTCCTCCTCCTCCTCCTCCTCCACTACCTCCTCCTTGTCCTCCTCCATCACTCAGACTCCCCTCTGAGAGCAGTTTGCGTTTTCGGGTGTACCGTCGGATACTAGTGAAAGACACAATGTTAACTGCTAATGTGCCACCTAGCAGAGTGAAGTCAAATGCTGGGAATAACAACAAAATGTTGGCATCAGGTGGCAGCTGGCTTCCAAACAATAGTGGGGTGTAGTTACACATACGACTGCACTCATTGTACTCCAAAGTGAAGTTGCTGCTGAAGATGAGGGGCGCAAGAGCCAGCAGGAAGCTGGCAGCCCAGGAGAGCAGGATGAGAAGCAGAGTTCGTCTCCGTGTCACCAAGGCATCCTTGTGGAGTGGCCGTAAGATGGCCACACTTCGCTCCAGTGTCATGAGGAAGATGGTGCTGATGGAAACAAAGGTGCATCCAGCGAACACTGGGCCAATCAACATGCAGGGCTGCCAAGGGCTCACTTGTCCGCTGTGAGAAGAGGAGGTGGCAAGGGAAGTAGAACTGCCCTGGTACCAAATAGGAGGAGCGCTGGTCACCATCAGAGAGATCTCAGTGTAGACAGAGAAAGGGACTACGAGGACACCAACCATCATGTCTGCCATAGCCAGAGACACTGTCAGAGAGAGACAACAAGAAGAAGAGGTCTAAGGAGAAGCATCCAGGCTTTTTCTTTGTCAGTATATTTCCAGCTATAGCGTAATTAAAAAGTGCAGTGTTTTTAAACTTGATTTTTCACTGTAATGTTAGTATTTTGGATTAAAATTGAGAGGAGTCAATCAGAAGAGGCACTGTAATAAATTACCAAGACTAGATATTTGTAGGTTGATATATTTTCTTTAATTTATTGTCAGAGTACTGAATATCTTCTGGAAGGAACTGTCCCTGTTGATTATCATTGTGGAATGCATAAGCGTAGCAACACTGATTTACAATTGGCTGTTCAGTTTAAATAACCCTCTGAAATGGAAAACATTCTGCAACCAGCAAGCATTTAGTGGTAAGATGGCAAAGAACATTTACCTTTTAGGTATCCCTGTGGTGTTCGCGACTGCCTCGTTTGCACAAAGACAGTAAGGGTGACCACATTTCCAACCACGATGGCAAATGCAAGGCTGACCATGAACACCACTGCCAAGGTGCGATTGAGAAATCCACAGCAACAGAGGGTACAGAGGGGTGCCAGTGACTGGCCTGAACCGAGTCCTGCCTGAGAAACTGCAGTCAGGTTAAACGAATAGTCTGTAGTTGGCAGCAGAACTGCTGTGCTCCCAGGAACACTGACGTTGGGAAGCAGAGCAGTCATGGCCTAAGATAGACTGGTTTTACCCCTTGTGATGTGTAGCTGGTAGGGCCACTCAGGAAACCATGTCTTGGACTGAGAAATAATCCTAACGAAAGAAAAAATAATTATCATTTCCAAAATTATTAAAATGCAAAGGACATTGCAAGTAAATATTTCACTTGTGCACACTTACTGTACAAAAGCAAATGCATTATTACCAGATTTGTTTTTTTCAAGAAATGGAACCCAATTGGTTTTGTTTTACATGGGCTGATTTGTGCAAATCTTCTCTACTAATGGAGATCCAGCTGTTGAAAGAGACCAAACTTTAATATATCACCAATCAAGAAATAGTTATAGATACTATAAATACTTTTCTATTGCAGAAAATCACATTCAATTTGTAATTTCTCAAGATTCATCCCTAAGGGCAGACATTTTGACCGTCTGGTGTTTCAGGGCAGAACATGTTAGCCCCTTTTTTAATGGAAATCATTAACACTTAACACTTTGACTTGCCCTCTGCAGTGTGTTTCGGCTGCAAATGTCTGCATCTAGGGTAATCATAGTGATTCATATTAATTGCCAAAACCCAAAGCACCATCTAGTCTTGCTGGATGGCTTTTAGCTTGAAACCCATCTCCTGTCAAGCTAGTCATTTATTTGGAGTTACTACTTTGTAAAGGTCTTTGCTTTTGACCGATATATCATCCTGTACTATCTGCATAACAAAAAACAACTCATACACCTAGCTGCTATTCATTATGTTGATAAATGTGAATTTCATGGCTGTACATTAAACATATCTCCAAAAATAGCTTGTATTTATTGTTTTACAGTAATGCCGTGTTATATATTTAGCCAATCACATAATCCAATAATTTACTGATCTTTTGGAGAGCTAAACCTGTAAACTCTTGAAAACATTAGGGTATGTGCCATGTTTAAATGTGTGGGGATGTGGTGTGTTAATGTTGCAGTTTACCCTACAAATGTTTTAGATAAAATTCTGAATTCCTTTAGATTATACAGTCTTTGCTGCAAAAACAGGCATATACATGGTGGTCTTGTCTACAAAGAATTGTTTCTATGGACAGTGATTTTTTTTACATGTGTGTCCTGGTTACATGCTGTTCTTATGCCCTAACACTGTTGGAAGCACCCCGATGCTGTCAGTACCCATGTAGTAACTTTAAATTCAGTACCAAATGTCTTTCTCAGCTGACAACTAAATACAAGGGTCCTTCAATCATTTATGCTGTTCACTGGACTGGAGACTAGGAAGGTACACACATCCAAGAAAACAAAGGGTAACAGGAATGGACATATTCAGACCAGAGCAAAACCAGACCAAATCCCATGTTCTCACTCTGGCTCTGGGCGCAGAAACACAGTCAACGAAACATCACAGCTGTCATCAGCAGTGAATTAGCCTCTGAATAATGAGACGTTCTTGAGATGCACAGAAAAACACTTGTGGGTGTGCGTTCTGTGACCAGCACATTGTTCAGGGTTTAATGCAGCATCAGAGGATTTGCATACAAAAAGACAGAAAAATTTGTCTGACCTCACAACTGTTTGATTACTTTGAATTTGAATATCAGTCTTATTTGTACAAGTCAGTTTTATTTGTACAGCCTGATGTCACAAATCATAATTTGCCTCAAGTGGCTTTACAATCTATACAACATACAACTTCTGTCCTTAGACTCTTGATCTGAATGAGGAAAAACAAAAGAACAACAACCTTTCAATAGGGTACAAAATGGAAGAAACCTCAGGAAGAGCAACAGAGATCTTGCAGAGTGGTGCACAGAGAACAACCTGCTCAATGTCAGCAAAACCAAGGAGATGATTTTCGTTGATTTTAGGAAAAAGGAGATAAAGACACACACCCCTGTCTAAATCAGTGGAGGTGAGGTGGAGCAGGTGAACAGTTTTAGGTTCCTGGGAATCAACATCACAGAGAACCTGACGTGGTCATCTCACATCTACACGCTGAAAGCTCAGAAATGGCTGTAGTACTTAAGGACTTATTATCTTTAACAGAGGAGTAAAATAAAGAATCCTGAGTGGAATCAACACAAACTGGCATGGGATTTCCACAGCCAAGAACAGCAGAGCTCTGCAGCAGGTAATTAAAACTGGTACCCATCTACCAAGCATCAGTGATATAGGTGAAGTAAGGTGTCTGTGCAGAGCCCAAATGGAGTTTTTCACCTCTTTTAAAGCCCCCCTCCAGACAGTTTTAACTGCCGCTTTTGGTTAACGTTCTTTCTCAAACAGAGAATGGGGGTGTGGTTAATAGTCAGACGTAATCAATTACCATGACAACCAAAAACTGACCGGCTGGAGAGTTGCTGTCAACGATATGCTGGCAGGAGTAGCTATTACTTACCAATGATAGAAACTAATGTGTGCGTATTAGCTGTAATCATACAGTCGATGGTCCTGTCACGCACTGCACACAATAACTCCCACTACGTTTTATGGTGCGCTTACTTTACCGTGGAGGTGGGGGGGTCTATTACTCTGTTGAACTATATGTAAAGACTTCTGATTTCCTCCGGCAATGCATTGGTAAAACAGCCGTCAGCAAAATGCATGTTGCAGACTGCGACACGTTTTCTGTCATCTGTCCTCCAACACCACATGCACAAATGCCATAATGAAAATGAACAGCACACTAAACCATGAGGAGGAAAATAAAAAATAAAATGAAGACCCTCTGTTAGCCAACTTTCTGCAATAACTATGCTAGCTAACTACACCTGGCTAACTACAACTTAGTTAACTTAGCTAACTAAGCTAGAAAGACAAACCAACAATCAGACACAGAGAGACATACCAACTGTAAGTTCAAAGTAAATGACATGATAAATTGGTTAGCTAGCTCACAACAATGTTTATCGGTTTGATGCCTTAACAAGGCGTGACGGCGTTATAGTTTTTTAACGAGGAATGACAGTGCACCTGCGGAAGCTTGGAGAATGACATAGTAGTATATAGTCATACGTCACCACCCTGTTTTAACAACTAAGCAACTTTTGCAACTTTGAGCACAAAATTAAGCTATTTGTCAAAAAATATTTGGCGAACTATGTGGGTAATCAACATTGTAAGGAAATGACTCAGAAAAATATGAAATATCAGAGAAATGTCAAAATACACTGGAGGGGGGCTTTAATGGACTTTAATAATAATAATAATAATCCTTATTTGTAGAGCACTTTTCAAAAACAAGTTACAAAGTGCTTTAACAAGTGTAAAGAATAATACAAAAAAAAAAAGATAAGAGCATGAAAATTTAATATAAAATTAGTAAAATAGAATAAAATAAAAGGGATAAAATAAAGTCAAATAAGATCGGGAAAAGCTCTCCTATAAAAGTATGTTTTAAGAAGGGACTTAAAAGAGTTCACTGACTCAGCCGACCTGATTTCCTCAGGCAGGCTGTTCCAGAGCCTCGGGGCCCTGACAGCAAACGCTCTGTCCCCTTTAGTTTTCAGTCGAGACTCTGGAACAGACAACAGACCTCTGCCCGAGGATCTCAAGGTACGTGCTGGTGCGTATGGGACTAAAAGGTCAGAAATATAACAAGGCGAGAGGCCATGAAGAGCTTTAAAAGTGATCAATAGAATTTTAAAGTCAATTCTAAAACATACTGGGAGCCAGTGTAATGAAGCTAAAATAGGAGTAATGTGGTCATATTTCTTTGTTCTGGTTAAAAGCCTGGCAGCTGAGTTCTGGACAGTCTGGAGTCGATCAATAGATTTTTGGGTTAAACAGGTGAAAAGGCTGTTGCAATAATCCAGGCGTGATGAGATGAAGGCGTGTAAAATGGTCTCGGTGTCCTTAAAAGTTAACATAGATCGAATTTTTGCTATATTTCTAAGTTGATAAAAACATGATTGAACAAGCTTTGTGGTGTGCTGCTCGAAATTTAAATTACTATCAAACCAAACACCAAGGTTCTTTGCCACAGGCTTAATGTGATTTACTAGGGAACCAGCAGATGGCAGTATTTGATTTGCCATCTGCTGGGACCCGATGACCAGGATTTCTGTTTTGTCTGAGTTCAGCTGGAGGAAATTATTTGACATCCATTTTTTAACTTCACAAAGGCAGTTGTTAAGTGAACTCAGCATTCCAGGGTCTGTGGATCTGACGGGCAAGTATATTTGTGTGTCATCAGCATAAATATGAAAAGAAATGCCATGTTTATGGATAATATGTCCAAGGGGAAGCAGATACAAGGAAAACAAAATGGGTCCTAAGACCGACCCCTGAGGCACACCATATTTAACTGGACAGAATGAAGAGACATAGTTGTTTACAGACACGCAAAACTTCCTATTTGACAGGTAGGATGAAAACCATTCTAGGGCAGTACCAGAGATCCCCACCCAGTGCCTCAGTCTGTCTAACATGATGTTGTGATCAATGGTGTCAAAAGCAGCGCTAAGGTCCAGGAGTACAAGGACTGAGCACATACCTTCATCAGCAGACATTAAAAGGTCATTGGTGACTTTAAGCAGGGCAGTCTCAGTGCTGTGGTACTTCCTAAAACCAGACTGAAACTTTTCAAATATTTTGTTATTTTCCAGCACAGTGAGCAGCTGTTTGGACACAATTCTTTCTAGAATCTTTGCAATAAAAGGCAGTTTTGAAATTGGTCTAAAATTTTGTGGGAGGGAGGGATCTAAACCAGGTTTCTTTAAAAGTGGGTTCACGCAAGCCGTTTTAAAATAATCAGGGACACAACCAGTAGATAGGGAGCTGTTGAAAACAGAGATCAAATGGGGCCCAACAGAAATATTACTTTTAGTAAAAATTTTGTAGGTATTATATCAAGTGGGCTGGAGGACACTCTCATTTGTGATATTGTTTTTAAAAGCTCAGACAAGTCGATGGGATAAAACTGGTTAAAACTCTGTTGTTGCTGGTGAGGAACCTCTGAGTAAGAGGCCACGGGGGTAATAGAGGCTCTGATTGACACCACCTTATTGGTAAAATAAGAAAAAACAATTCACAGTCATCATTACTTCCAGCTGAGGCACAAGGAGGGGTTGGGTTTACCAGCTGATCCACAGTCTTAAACAGAAACCTGGGATTGTGTTTATGTGTAGTAATGAGTTCAGAAAAATAGTGTGTTCTCGCATCCTTAACCATTTTATTGTAGTTAATTAATAAATCCTTCAGACTGAGGTAATGGACTTGGAGATTGGATTTTTTCCATCTGCGCTCTGCTTTCCTGCATTCCCTTTTTAGGCTGCGAATGCTGTCATTTATCCAGGGTTGCTTACTAGCTTTAGACGTAGGCCTAACCTTTAGAGGAGCAGTAATATTTAGTGACGACAAGCAGATATGATTGAAGTGATCAACCAGATTGTTGGTGTTGGAATCAGACAGGTGTTGGCTTTGGCTCTGAAAGACTGCGCAAAACTTTGAAACACTTTGTTCATTAAAGATGCGACAACACACGGAGCTTGGTGAGGCGGCATGAGTAACAGGCGAATCGCAGCTAAAAACAATACATCTGTGGTCAGATATGGTCATGTCCACTAATTCCACAGAGGAAATGCTGACACCCAGGGTAAAAACCAAGTCCAGTGTATGACCACGGTTATGTGTTTGCCCTTTGACATGTTGTTTGAAGTTAAAAGAAGTGGCCATATTTAAAAAGTCAGTTGCATTAACATTGGTGGGGTCATCAACATGAATATTAAAATCGCCACAAAGAACAATTCTGTCATAATTTAAAACCAGAGTAGATAAAAATTCAGGAAGTTCTGATAAAAATCCTCCAGGCGGTTTTGGGGGGCGATAAATTATAACAAATATGATAGGTTGCAGCCCTCCAACTTTAAGAGTGAGAACTTCAAAGGAGCTAAATTCATCACAGCGTACTTGATGACATTTAAAATTTTTCCTATACACGCTCACTAGCCCACCACCACGACCACTGACCCTCGGTTGACTAAAGCAATCATATTGAGGCGGACACAGTTCAGCTAGCTGGCTATAGTCATTCATTTGCAACCAGGATTCAGTTAAAAACATAAAATCTAGATTTG